ATTGAACCCGTTACCTTTAGGTCTACAGGTTGATGCTACAACCAACTGAACTACACTGGCCAGGGCCATAATGCTAATAATTGTAGCAGCTTGGTTAAAAGGATCCCCCTATGTGGTCTCAATACATGAACTTGTGTTTAAACACATGAACTCTTAACTGTGGTAATTGTAGTCACTGAAAGTGGATTTACAAAAGTTGGTTTCTTAAGGAATAAATAAAATAAGTAGATGGTTACTTTATTAAAGAGAATAATACCTTTTTTTTTTATTTTGGGACACAGTTTTAATAATCTACTTCAGTCTTTATTTTCAGTATAGGAACAGTGGGATAATTAAACCATATTAAGGAACACTGGTTAGATATGCTAGAGGAAGAAAAGTTTTTTAGAGAAAGATTGACATCTTAGAAGAGCCACACCCCTCTTAAAGTTTTATATATATATGTATATATAAAATATATATTTGAAACCACATGGTTTGGGAAGAGGTAATAACAAGTTACATAATTATAAAGTTAGCCCTCCCCTCCTTAAAGTATGTTCTTTTGACCTAAAATGATTTTTCACTCTTTGTGTAGGCCAAGAAATAGCAATTTAAGGCTAGAACCTGAGACACTATTTTCTCTCTGTAATGAAAATGAGATCTTACATATTGTCCTGTCTGTGGATATCTGGATATTTGGATGATTTCCACTATCTCTCTGTTAAAAAATGTTCCCCGTTAATCTTTTCTCTCAGTATGCACTTAACTCTTTGGTTTTGTTTATGATGTTTTGTTTCAGAAAAGTTTAAAATTAGAATATAGTGAAATCTTTCCATTTTTTCCTTTATAGTTCTGGATTTTGTGTCTTGTTTAGTACAGATATTCTCATCCCAGTATCATAACAATATATTCTCTTAAATAGTTTCAAAACATTTTTTCCTTTTAGCTCAGTAATCTGTCACAAATTTATTTACATGTTGAGTATAAGTTAGAGATAAATGGCTAGTTTTTCTTCTGAAGTGAATTGCCTAGTTTTTCAGCATCATTTTTTGAATTGTAATAAACATTGTTGCAATAGTATTATAAACACTTCTCTGTTTCTGGAGCCTATTCTCTTTCATTGATCTGAAAGTGTTTCTGTACCAGTATATTGTGTGATTTCAATTGCTTTAAATTACTTTTTATAATTGGTAAGGAAGTTCCCCCTGACTGTTTTCCCTTTTCGAAATGTTTGTGGCATGTTTTGTGTTTGTCATCCACATGAGAATCACTGTATCAAGTTCTACAAAAAAAATACTTTTGGTATTTTAAATTGTAATTGCCTTTAATTTATACATTAATTTTGGGGAAGAATTTATGTCTTTGCAATATTGGGTAGTCCCACCCAACAGCATGGTGTGACTAGCCAGGTCTTTTATTTTCTCCTGTAAAGTGTTCTAGTTTTTCCTCATGTTGGTTGTCTTTAGTAGCAGTGAAAGGAATGGGCTCTAGTGCCATTCTAATTGGGTTCAGTCCCTGAGAAGCTTTAGTCTCCTCATCCGTAGTGTAGGAATAATAACTCATTAGGGTTATTATGAAGATTAAGTGGGTTCAGACATGTAAATTAATACTTTTAAAATGTGGGTATTGTTACTAGGTTTATATTTAAATATTTTATAGTTTGTTTTGTGAATAAGATCTTTTATTTAAATCTCATTTTAATTGATTACCTTGCTACATAGGGAAGTTCATGATTTTTGTTCATGTACTTGATTTTGGATACTTTGCTGAACTCTTTATTACTCAAAATTTTAAAAATTCTCTTGCATTCTCTAGATAATCATAAATTTGCAATTAATTATTTTAGCTTTCAGTATCTTTGCTTCATAATTTTTTTCTATCTATGTATACTTTGGATCTTTTTTTATTGACTAGGACTTCTAATACAGTGTTGAATAGAAGTGATGATAAAGAGCACTTTGTCTCTGTCTTAAATGGATTTGGAGTTGACTTATGGAAGTTAACTCTCTATAAAGCGAAGGGCTTTTTTTTTGTATGTGTGTTCTTAATTTGTTAAGGAGTGGGTTTTGGCTTTTATTAAATAATTATTATACAATAATTTAACATGGATATATTTTATTACAAAAGATAGAAAAAGTATAAAAATTATAGATTAAAGCATGAAAGATATTTGTAACCTGCTCTGTTTCTATTCCTCTCCACATATATTTATTATGTATATTACTGTTACCAATGCTTTGTATCGTTTTGTTTGCTATAACTTTATATACATTCTTAAAATTTTTAAAAAAGATTTTACTTATTTTTTAGAGAGAAGGAAAGAGAGGGAGAAAGAGAGGGAATCATCAATCAGTTGCCTCTTGCACACCCCCAACTGGGGACCTGGCCCACAACCCAGGCAAATGCCCTGATGGGGAAGGGGACTAGTGACCTTTTGGTTTGCAGGCTGGTAATCAACCCACTGAGCCATAGCAGCCAGGGTACCTTTGTATACATTTAACATGTACATATGTACTCATAATATTTATATAAAACCAGGTGCTAGGTTTTTATCTGATATTTTGTTTCACCTAGTTGATTTTAAGTAGTTACTATATCTCAGGCCCTCTTTAGGGGCAATAGATTTTTTTTTTTTTTAAAGATTGTATTTATTTTTAGAGGGAGAGCTGGGGAGGGAGAAAGAGAGGGAGAGAAACATTGATTGGTTGCCTCTCACACATGCCCCAATCAGGAACTTAACCTGCAACCTAGGCATGTGCCCTGACTGGCATCAAAATGGTGACCTTTAGCTTTGTGGGAGGACACCCAACCAACTGAACCACACTGGTCAGGGCAACAGATGTTTCTTAAATGTTTCTAAATGGTAAGCAATGTCTTAGGTGCTGCTGATCTAGCTGTGGAGAAAAAAGAAAAGACCTGCCCTCCCAGCTAACAGTCTAATGGTACACACAGGTGAAAAAAAAGTCAGGTGATGATAAATAGGTGAAAATGTTAAAGCAGGATAAGAGAGGATAGAGATCAACTGGGGTGCTATTTTAGATAGTATAGTTTAAAAAAACCATTTAAGAAAAGGTAGCATTTCAGCAAAGACTTGAAAGACATGGAGCAACCTTGCAAATACTCTCTGGGGCAAGAACCTCAAGGGTGAGAGAATAGCAAGCACAAAAGCCCTGCTGTAGGAGCTTGTTTGGAATGTTCAAGAAACAACAACAAAGTCATTTGGTCAGAACAAAATGAAGACTGGTGGGGAAGGATGTTGGACCAGATTATATGGACCCTTCTAGGCCCTGGTCAAGATTTTGAATTTTGTTACAAGTGTGATAGGAAGCTATTGATGGTTTTGGAAAAGAGAAATGGCTTTGTATTAGTTTGTTAGGGCTGCCATAACAAAATACCACAGACAGGGTGGCTTAAACAACAGAAATTTATTTTCTTACAATTCTGGAGGCTAGAAGTCCAATATGAAGGTGTCAGGTTTGATTTCTCTCAGAGACCTCTCTCTTTGGCTTGCAGATATCCACCTTCATGCTGTGTCTTCACATGGTCTATCATGTGTGTGGAGACACGTCCAATGTCTGTGTGTCCAAATTTCTTCTTAGAAAAACACCAGTCCGATTAGATTAGGGGCACTGTAATGGTCTCGTCGTAACTTAATCACCTCTTCAAAAGCCCTGTTTCTAAATGCAGTCACATCCTGAGGTACTAGAGGTTAGGACTTCAACTAGAGGTTAAGACTTTTAGGGGAACACAGTTGAGCCTGTCACATGCCTGATTTTTCTTCACGCTGCTGAGGATAGACTTGGGGTATGTGTGTGGGGTGGGGGTAAGGAGTAAACTGGCGTGGTGAGGTTATTTAAATGGGATCTTTGATATGGAAAGGAGAAAGGACATGTATTCAGTCTTCTGTTGTAATCCAGAGACTCCTTCCTTGTCTTTCTTTGTACATTATTTTTCTAGTTTCTGCTAGATGATCTTTTTTTCCCATCTTCAAGGCTCAAGTTAAGTGTACCTTGTCTCAGGAGGCCTTCCCTGACTGCTTCCTTCTTTCTAATGTTATGTGTTTACCTCTATCATTTTGTATTGTACTGGCTTAATTGTATTGCATTATACTAGGCAGTAATGCCTGATGGAGAGGAATGTGGTTTTATTAGTTTTACCCTTAATATAGCATGGTATCTGATACATAAAATGCTAAGTGAATTCTTACTCAATAACACATGTAAGAATGGGTATATACAGGAGAAGTTTGTAGTAGGCAGCCAGTAATCAAACTGGCACAGCAATTTTTCTAAATAGCATGGATAATCATCTTCCTGCTGGGCTACCAGCCTGTGAGATTTCTTTTAGTCAATAAAAGCAGCCTTGGTGACTGGTATAAAATATCAAATACATTGTACCAAAGGGAGTCAATAGGGTTTAAATATATGAGATTTTGCTTTAATATTTAAGCTGACATACCTGTACTCTATATTGAGGGATATGTTTCTCTTAAATTTTCTGGTATGGTAGAATGTTTGTTAAATACTTATAAACTAAAAAAAAAAAAATAGGCTTAGTGGTGACTTTAACTTCTAAAGTTTTAACTTCTAAGATTTGGTTTTTGAATAAGTAAATATATTTTCATAGTTCAAAATTGAAAAATACAAATAGGTTATATAAAATATATGCTGTATACAGTGGTGGGCCAAAGGAGGTTTACAGTTGAGAGTATGTGAAACGGTTTATTCTTGTACTAATTATTATTTTTGTATGAATAACTGTAAGCCTACTTTTTACCACCATGGTATATAAAATACAGTGTAGTATCTCTCTCATCCTTTCTCTCCAACAACTCAGAAACTGATAAGCTGTTTTGAGATTTCCCCTTCCAGAAGCCACCAATTTGATTAGTTTAAAATATTGTTGGTTTTGCTGTGTGTACTTGAATTTTTAAAAAAAATTCTGCTAAGCTGATCGCTTGTATTGGTGTAGTTTAATGAACTGCTGACTCATGTAATTTTTTTACTTTGTTTTTTTAGATACATCAAATTACGAAATGGTTTGCAGGCACTTTTGATTTCAGACCTAAGTAACACGGAAGGTAAAACAGGAGATGCAACAGATGATGAAGAAGAAGAGGAAGAGGAAGAAGATGAGGACGATGATGAGGATGATGATGATGATGATGATGATGAAGATTCTGGAGCTGAAATAGAAGACGATGATGAAGAGGGTTTTGATGATGAAAATGAGTTTGATGATGTTGATGAACATGATGATGATGATCTTGATACTGAGGAAAATGAACTGGAAGAATTAGAAGAGAGGGCAGAAGCAAGAAAGAAAACCACTGAAAAACAGGTGTGGATCATGTCTATTTTATCGTTTTCTAATTTGGTATTTCTTTGGGATCCCAAACTTATATTTTATTTCTTTTTTCTTTTAATCCTCACCCGAAGACATACTCATTGATTTTTAGAGAGAGTGGAAGGGAGGGGGAGAGAGAGGGAGAAGAAAAATCTTGACGTGAGAGAGAAATATCAATTGGTTGAATCCTTTACATACCCCAACTGGGACCGAACCTGCAACCTAGGGATGTGCCCTGACCCAGAATCAAAACTGTAGCCCTTTGGTGTATGGGATGTTGCTTCAGCCAACCCAGCCACACCGGCCAGGGCTGTTTTATTTCTTAATGACAAAAATGAAGTCTATATGTTTTGATCTTCAGCAAAGGTCTATTTCTTCTGCATAAAGATTATATTTATAAATATTTTGCTCTGATTATAAAAGTGGCTGTTATTATAGAAACAAATGGAAAATAAAGAAAAACAAAATATAAAAATCACCCATAACCATAACTCTCAGAGGTTAATTACTGGTAAAATTTGGATTTATGTATACATTATATGTTTTAAAACAAATGCTAGAAGGTGAGGATCTGCATAATTTTTAGCCTGGGAATAGAGGACCAAGAGAGTGTACTGTGTTTGGAGAGATTGGAAAAAGAAAAAGAACAGGGTTAGTATAGATTCCTCACCTGGGTCTATTGTTCTATGAGTCTTCATATGGGTAATTTCTATCTAGGTAATGGAATGTGACATCTCCTTTGTTGGGAAAGCACCAAAACTGTGGATAACTTAAGTAAATTGGAGGAATTGAAATAGAAATGGGCAATTGAGCTTAGTTTGTGTGATATATAATAATAATCATTGCATAGATAAAGAGGGTTATTAGGGAGAATTTCCTTCTCTTGATATCTTTAAAAAAAATTTTTTTTAGGTTGATTTGAAAGAGAGAGAGAAAAAACAAACATCGATTTGTTGTTCCATTTACTTATGCATTGATTTGTTGATTCTTATACGTGCCCTGACCAGAGACTGGAACACAACCTTAGTATATCCAGATGTTCTGAACAACTGAGCTACCCGGCCAGGGCTTGCTCTGGCTATCTTTTGAAAAATGCCTTCATTTTACAGTAGGGAGTACTTATATTAGAGGATAATATTTTGTAGGCTTGACAGTAGAGTTGATCAGCAAATATTTGTTAAAGCTAGTTTTATAGCTGAAAACACTGGTTTGGCTGCCTGTCACAAAAAAAGCCAGCCTCATGAGACAGGTGCAGGTGCAAAAGGAAAGAGGTTTTATTCAGGGGCTGTGTGACCTGGGAGAATGGTGGACTTCCGTCTTTAAGACCAACTCCCCTTTTCAAGCCCCTGGTTCTTATAGGGATGGGGAGGGGAGGCCTTTTTTTCTATACAATTGTCCTGCTAGCTTTCGGTGTGCTTGGGTCCTATCCATTCATCTTTTAGCTTTTGGTGCACTCAGGCCCTGTCCATTCATCTTTTTAGCTATTGGCATACTCAGTGTAAGAACCTACTCCTGCTGCCATCTTGGCCAATGGGGGAGACTCCCCAGTGCAGCACTCCGACTGAATTGTTGAGGTAACAGTTTCTTGAATATTGATAATACACTTAATACATATGGTACAGCCCACATACAAATGAATGATAGTTCAGATTACTAAACCTGAAATCTAGGCATCAGATGTATTAGACTGTAAAGTGACCAGTCCTCAAAGATGTGAAGGCATGAGATATGAGTAGTAGATATGTTTTAAATAAATCCTTTGATAGTCACTCTTGGAAAAAAAAAATATATTTTTTTAAAGAAGATTGTGCTAGTTCTTTAACTAAGTTGGTGGGGTAAATGAATCTTATTTGCTCCTTGCTATTCAGATTATGAATGATGGTTATTTTGGGGTGGCATGATAGGCCAAGTGGTTTAGCTTGGAAAACCAAAATACTGGGGGAAAAAATGCATATAAATGCTACTTGATAGTCTATACTAAGGTCTTTATAAATAAATTGGGAATCAGTAAATTCACTTTAATTTACAATCTTATAATTCCACATAGAATATTAATAGTAATACTAACAGTCAGGAAACTTGAGTTCTAATTCTGGCTCTGTCCTAATCTTTCTGGATGATCTTAGGTCTTTTCATTTTCTGATTTCTGAAACTGGATTAGATTACATAATGTTGAGGTCCATTTTAGCACTAATACTGATTGTGTTATAACTTTATAACTGAACATTCCCTATCTATAAGTTTTTTCCTATATCTGTCAGTGGCTTTTCTTGTGCTTTGGACTTCGTTATATCCTCTATCAATTGATAAAACGGATTAAATTTAAAAAATTATCTCGACAGCCAATTTTACTGTGAAGACATAATAAAATATCTTAGATTTATACAGCAATTGTGAACCCCTTTGACAAATGAGGATGTGCATCCAGTATTTTTGGTATTCCTTTTCATTTTACTTCTGTGGATCAAACTCTAAATGTTTACCTCTTCTAGAAGCAGCAAGGTCAGATTCTAATTAACATTATGAAAAGGGCTTAGGTACTGCCTTTCTTTTCTGAGTACTCAGTGTGGTATATTCATTCATATAAAATATTGATAGCTAATTTTCTGGATTATGTTAGAAAGGAATGGAGGAACCTAATGTACTTGGAAGAAAAGATCAAATTGTTTTGATTCAGATGCAGTGGGTACAGTACTGAAAGGAAAGATCCATGATTGTAACAATGAAAATAGTTTATAGTCATTGAATGAATGTCTATAAAAGGGAGATAAAGTAGTCTAGAAAAGAGGTGGCTTGAAAATTGGATAGGGTTTTGCAATGGTTTTACAATTTGATTTTTATTTGAAAAATGTGAATCTTGCTTAAAGTAGATGAGAATTAATATTGGAAATGGGAAGAAAAAAATGTTGAGATATTGGAGAACATTTATCTAATTAAGAAGTTAACTATTTTTCTCGCATCATGATCTTTGTTGCCCTGTGTTTTTCTCCTCCCAAAAGGAAGTTGTTCTTGATCTGAAGGGTTTGAGAAAATAACAAGATTGAAATTTAAGTATGATAAATACTAAATTACGATTTGTTCAGGTCTTTCTTAAGTGAATTCTCAAGTATGAATTTCTTGGGAAGTTAATTCTCAAGTATGAATTTCTTTTCTAGCAATTGCAGAGCCTGTCTTTGCTGTGGTCAAAGCTGACTGATAGACTGTGGTCTAAGTCAGCTTATAGGAAAATGTCTTCAACCCTTGCTGGTTGAGACAAGAAGTCTTTATGGGGTAGTTGGAGCTGAAAGCAGGTTAGGCATCTATTAAATATCACAGAACAGGTTAGACTGTGGTCCGAAGAAGTGGCTCTTTCCTAATGTTTTAACTAAGATTATGTGCCTAAGTCTTTACAATATCAAACAGTATCAAGCGAGGCAGTTTGATTCTTCTGAAAATATACTTTCATTTTCTCATACACAGACTTTATATCATGTACATGCAATTTTTTAAAAGCTCTCCCTTCTAAGAGGATAACCATTTTCCCAAATAATCTGTGTCACCAAATGTGTTAGCCCTTTAAAATTGACATTTGTAAAATTTGGGAAAGTTAATATTTCAACTTCCTATCTTCAGTGATTTAAATTAACTACTTTTCTCTCCTTTTTTGTGTCTTTTAACTTACAATGGCACATGGTATACCCTAATCATTTTTAAAAAGTGCAGTTTGGTGTACCTCTTAACCGTCTATTTTGTTAAAAACTCTGGTTTTCCCAAGGTATAGAAAATTACTATCAGTAGACATGTAATGTATCCTATATATATTAAAAAACCTCTTTAAAGTTCAGTTCTGTATTGCTAGACATTTTCTTTTTTAACCATTTATCTATTCCCTTTGTTAGATATTTTCTTGACATGTTATTGTATGCCCTTTTTTAATAAAAACAAAAATTTCTGAGTAACATTGAGAAATTTTACATCTAGTAACTGAGTTACTGGACACAGAGCCCTTTAATTGCTTAGAGATATTTTAGAGATAATCTATAGATATATTATTCAGCAGATTTCTGAAATCTAATAAAGCAGGAAACAAAGTTGGGTTAACACTCTGAAATGCTGACACAAAATGCTATTTCAGTAAGCTGGCCAGTCCCTCTTCCCTTTTTTTCTGTTTCTGCTTTTTCCCTTAGGTCTGCACCTGTTCAGCATTTGTCAGGATGGCAAGAGGAGGAGCAGCAGGGTGAAACTGACACAGTTCTGGTGAGTTTCACTTTGCTGCTCCTCCTGATTATCAGGGAAAGAATTATGTTACCTTCTATTGGAAAACTCCCATCTCTGAGTGAATCCTTAAGATGAGATCTCAGTATTGTTCCTTTAGAATTGACTCACTATTGGTATATGTTCTACTTATTCCAGTCTGCAGCGGCTCTTTGTGTTGGAGTTGGGAGTTTTGCTGATCCGGATGACCTTCCTGGGCTGGCACACTTTTTGGAGCACAGTAAGATCTTAGTAAAATATCATTCCTGGGGTTGTTTTTCCTCTAAATTTGTATGAATTGAATTCAGAGATAACTAACTGGTATATGTTTAATAAGAGAAGAGGCTAAGGAAAAAATCTTTATGAATAATCACATGTGAAGACTTAATTTTGATCTCCGTTAGTGTACTTGTTTTGAGGGTTAGAATGAAACCACTTAGAAAGCATTTTGCAAATGTAGGTTTTATTATTATTCAGGAGAAAATAGTCTGTCTCTAGGAATTTAGACTTTAGCCTTAGGGAGGGGGCAGTCTGTTCCATGGTTAGCCAGGTCCCAAGATGTTATAGCATCAGAAATACAGAAAATTGAAAGAAACGCATGATTAACAAAAATCAAAATAGACAATATTCAGTTTAATATGTATCTGACTAAAACTTATGTAGATGCTATATGGTTATACTTAAATTTATATTTGTTTTCCTGAAAAACGTACTTTTTATATTCCAGTTTTCTAAAGTATTTTAAGGTAAACTTCTCACCTTTTGAGTTTTTATAGTAACATTTAATCTGCATATATGCTTATGTTTACATTTTAACACTTTAACAAATAAATCATATATATTTTCTTTAAAAATAAAATGTTTAGATTTTGAGTTTAAAAGTAATATGTGAGCATTAAAGAAAATTATAAGAAGTATAACAAAGTATTATCCAGACATAATTATTATTAATGTGTTTATATTATTTCTTCTAATTTTTTGAATATGAGAAATTTCCTCCTTGATAATAAAAACTTTGTCTATATTTTTGTGTCCTATGACTTTGTGTTCTTTCCATTTAGTGGTATTCATGGGTAGTTTGAAATATCCAGATGAAAATGGGTTTGATGCTTTCCTGAAGAAACATGGGGGTAGTGATAATGCTTCAACTGATTGTGAACGTACAGTCTTTCAATTTGATGTCCAGAGAAAATACTTCAAGGAAGCCCTGGATAGGTAACTAACTTAAAATGTATTTTTATTTTAATTATATAATGCCACCATACAAATAGAAATATTGGGCATTGTTCTATGGTATTTCTTTTCAAGCAGTACTCTTAATTCTATAGTAGTGTAAGAATACTTTATTTGGAGAAAAGAATAAAATACTAAATACACCTTGGCCCTTATTCTGTAATACTTAGTTTTGTATTAAAGTTTTAACTGAAACCCCCAAGCACATTTTAATTTTTGTAAATAATGTATTCTCTATTCACTCATTGTTGCAACTAGCTTTTCTAATTTAGTAGAAAATAAGGGAAACAGAAAAGCACTAGAGATAAGATTGCTTCTGATTTTGTAATCTAGAGGTAACCATGGTTAATGTTTTGGTATATAAGCATCTATATTTTTTACTGTATATTGGATATTCTTTTATGTTTTTAAACAAGGTGTGCCATTTTTACAAATCATTATATAATTTATAGAATAATTTTAAATGATTGTATATTATTTACATTGTATAGATGTACCAGATCTATTAAACCAATTACATATTGTTGGACAGTTGAGTTATTTCCAGTTTTCTAGTATTATAATGGGATGAATATCCTAGTTTTTGCATACATTCTTAATTATTTCTGTTAATTAAGTTATAAGAAGTGAAATTGCTGAGTATATTTGCATATATATTTTAAGGGTTTTTTTTTGTGTGTGGAAAACTTTTGATATTCACTGCAAAATTTTCAAGAAAGTTAGTGTCAGTGCATTAGCAGAGGGTTTTTTTGTTTGTTTGTTTTTAACCCTCACCTGAGGACATACTTATTGATTTTATTTTTTAAAAGATTTTATTTATTTTATTTTTAGAGAGAAGGGAAAGGAGGGAGAAAGAGAGGAAGAGAAGCATCAATGTATGGTTGCCTCTTGCGTGCCTCCCAATGGGGACCTGGCCCACAACCCAGGCATGTGCCCTGACTGGGAATCAAACTGGCAACCCTTTGGTTCTCAGGCTGGAGCTCAGTCCACTGAGCCACACCAGTAAGGGCTGTTTTTACAATATTTTATAGCTGTTTTTAATTGTATAGTTAAGGACATGTGTACAGCACATACATTTGATACTCTGTTTATGTAATTAAACATTTAATTCCAAAATAACAAACAAAAGAATAGAGACAAAGAAATCAATGAAGGCAGTGCAAAAGATTTCCAAGATTATTTTTTCTATACATTTAGAAAATCAGGGATACTCTGAGAATGACTGCATGTTTGCTCAAAGTTCTCAGCTCTCAAGGTTCACAAAATCCAAACAGGTCTTTTTATGAGGGAAGAAATCTTAAGCAGTAGACAAGTTGAGTTCTCAAGTTGAAATCTTAAACAATAGGTCAAATATAAAGAAGGAAAAAAACCATTTCATTGGAAAAAAAGAGCAGGCAAAAGACATGTTGAATAAATTCTGAACACCTCAGAGATGATAAAACTTGGTATCAAGCTTAATTAAAGAACTTGTTTCATTTCTTCTTAAAGAGGTTTTATACATTTTTGACCTAAGGACTGCATCAGGAAATCAGAAGATATATACACATTTATTTCTATTAAAAAATAAATAAATTGCCCTGGTTGGGTAGCTCAGTTGGTTAGAGTGTTGTCCTGATATACTGAGGTTGTAGGTTTGATATCTAGTATGGGCACATATAAGAGTCAACCAGTTAGTGCATGAATGGTTGGAACAGCAAATCAGTGTTTCTCCCTTCGTCTCTTCCTTCATCTGCCTCTTAAAAAAAAAAAAAAAAAAAGAACAATTAAGTAGAATGCTGCTACTGTATTAATAGGAAAAATTAGTAAGATTATCAAATCATAACTTCATGCCATAACTGGTAGATAGTGATAGAGCAGTAAGTATTGCACGTACTATAATAAATATGATGATTACTCCTACGGTTAGTAAGGAATAAACAGTCTTTGAATCATTTGCAAACAACTCTCATAGATCGTGTCAGTCTTTTTAAATAGGTCAGTAAAATCCAATTCCTTTACAGAGGTCACATTGTTTATCAGTATGTTGGATCATTTAAGTAAAAAGTTGAGGAAAAACTGAATTTTCACTCTGGTAAAGTAAATGAGAATGGAAACTGCTCTTGTCCTGATGATGTTTTTTAATTTCAATAAATTTGAATTTTTTAAAATAAGTATTTCAGGGTGAGGGGCAGAAATATCAAAGTCCCAGGACATCTACAAAGTCTAATATCTAACAGGAGACTCTCTTCATAATAAGCTGGCACTCCACTGACTTCACCCTCAGGTTGAGGAAATGGGTAAACTGTCCTGAGGAATTACAACCTAGTTTCAGAATGCCTGAGTCTTCTGGTGAACCTCAAGTTTTTATTGTTATTTAACATGGTCCAGAACTGTTAGTATTCTCTGATGCCTGAGGGAAGCAAAAACAAATCCTCTCAAAAGGATTCATCCTGCACCTTATATTATTCCTCCAAATAGTTTCTGAAGTAAAATGAGTGATATTTAGTCCAATATAAGCAGGCACACAAGAAAACAACAATGTGAATGAGAATAGATAACAAAAAAAGATTTCTAATGCCTTAGAAATCTTAGGAATTTGAATGGTTAGAAACAAATTATAAAAGTGATTATACTTTATGATTTTAAAGAAATAAGAAATAAGTTTAGATACAGTTTCAAGGAATAAGAAACTATAAAATGTGACTTGTAAGATTTGAAAAATAAGAGATAATCCCAGGTTGCTGTGAGCGTCAGCGAGCACAGCACTCCTGTGCTGCTGGGCCTTGATAAGATTTAAGTCTTCCCAAAGCCTGGGCTTGGTTTCTATCTCCCATCGCCACTGAAGAGTTCCAGCCAAGATGGAGGTGTAGGTAGAAACACTTCGCTTCCTTACACAACCAAAAAGAAGGATAACAACCAATTTAAAAACAATAAACAGAATTGTCATAAAGAACTGTCATAAAGAACATAAAAAGAACTGTCATAAAATCAAGCTGCATGGAACTCTGACAACCAAGGAGTTCATTCAAGAAACATTCATCCAGATCGGTAGGAGGAGCAGAGGTGAGCAGCTGGGGTGGAGAGGATGTGTGGTAAGGCGGTAGACCGCAGAGGCGAGGCGGGGACTGGCTAACCAGGAAACTAAAGACTCAAAAACTCTGGTTGTAAAATACTGCGGGGGTTGCAAAGACAGGAGAAACTCCCAGCCTCACAAGAGAGTTCGTCGGAGGGGCCCACGGGATCCTAGAACATACACAAACCCACCCACCTGGGAATCAGCACCTGAAAAGGGCACAATGTACCTGTGGGAAGCGAGGGGAGTGACAGAAAGTGGGGCTAGAGTGGAGTGAGTAAGTGACATAGTTCCCTCTTTAACCCCTCCCACACATACAGTGCGACACCGTAGCAACCTGGGGTGCTCCGCACTGGTGAATACCTAAGGCTCCGCCACTTACAGTGTGAAAGTAACAGCTGTGCAAGAAAAAGAAATATGGCCCATGTGAAAGAACAGATCAAAACTCCAAAAACAAAATGAAAATGAACACAACAGTCCACAGCCTGTGGACACAGCGAAGGCAGTCCTGAGAGGGAAGTTCATAGCAATATAGGGCTACCTAAAAAAGATAGAAACACTTCAAATAAATAACCCTACAGCTTCAAGAACTGGAGAAACAACAACAAACAAAACCCAGAGTGAGTAGATGGGAGGAAATGACCAAGATCAGAGCAGAACTGAATGACATGGAGACTAAGAGAACAATTCAAAGGATCAACAAATCTAGGAGCTGGTTCTTTGAAAAGATAAACAAAATCAACAAGCCTTTAAGCAGACTCATCAAAAAAAAAAAAAAAAAAAAAAAAAGGAGAGGACCCAAATACATAATATCAGAAACAAAAGAGGAGAAATTACGACTGATACCACAAAAATAGAAAGGATTGTAAGAAATTACTATGAACAATTATATGCCAAGAAATTTGAAAACCTTGATGAAATGGACAAATTTCTAGAAAAATATAACCTACCAACACTGAATGAAGAAGCAGCAGAAAGCCTGAACAGACAGTTAACAGCTGGTGAAATTGGAGCAGTAATCAAAAAACTCCCAACACACAAAAGCCCTGGACTGGGCGTTTCACAAGAGAATTTTACAAAACATTTACAGAAGAGCTAACCCTTGTCCTTCTCAGACTATTCCAAAAAATCCAAGAAGAAGGAAGACTTCCAAACTTTTTATGAGGCCAGCATCATCTCAGTCCCAAAACCAGATAAAAACACAACAAAGAAAGAAAACTACAGGCCAATTTTGCTGATGAACATGGATGCGAAAATCCTCAACAAAATATTGGCACACTGCATCCAGCAATACATTAAAAAGATCACGCACCATGATCAAGTGGGATTCATTCTAGGGATCAATAATTGTAATACATCACATAAACAAAAAGGAAGACAAAAATCACATGATCATATCAATATACTTGGAAAAAGCATTTGATAAAGTACAGCATCCATTTATGATAAACACTCAGCAAAGTAAGAATAAAGGGAGCATACCTCAACATAATAAAGGCCATATATGAAAAACCTACAGCCAACATCATACTCAATGTGCAATAACTAAAAGCTTTCCCACTATTATTGGGAACAAAACAAGGCTGTCTGCTTTCACCACTTCTATTCAACATAGTATTGGAAGCCCTAGCCACAGTGATCAGACAAGAGAAAGAAAGAAAAGGCATCCAAATTAGAAAGGAGAAAGTAAAACTCCTTGTTTGCAGATGACATGATAGTGTACATAGAAAACCCCATAGACTCCACCAAAAAACTACTTGACCTAGTAAGTGAATTTGGCAAAACAGCAGGATACAAAGTCAATATTGAGAAATCAAAGACATTTTTGTACACCAAAATGAAATATCAGAATCAGAAATCAGGGGGAAAAATCCCATTTGCTATAGCAACAAGAAAAATAAAGTACCTAGGAATAAACTTAACCAAGGAG